TGCCAAAAAGAAGCCATAAAGTGTTTCCTTTAAGTGAAAAGGCACGCATGTATAGGAAAAACCATAGTATATATAGGGTTTGGTACTATCTGCAGTTTCAGACATCCACTGGAATCTTGGAATATATCCTTTGTGGATAAGAGGGACTACTGTGCACAAATTAAAATGTAATCAGATGTCCCTTTTTCTGGGAAGCCATTTTTTACCATTCTCATCTATTAGCAACATTGGAATGAAGGAATAACAAAATTAAAAAATGAAAATAATTTAAATAGAAGAATAGAACTATAAACTAATTTCTAAGAAGGCTGAAAAAGGTGGCATAAAAAGAGATATAGGCAAAATTTCTTAAAGAAAAGTTTTGAAGGAAGGAGATAATTGCAATAGGTATTCTAGATAGAAGGAACAGATTAAATGACAGAGTGAGAGAGAGAGCACCAAATATATTTGAGAAACAGACAAATGAGCTTTTAGCTAAACTGAAATTTTTATGGTATCACATTCATTTATTCAAGAAATATTTATTAAGCATTTACTTTTGGCCTGTATAGGAAAATAAACCTAGAAGGAAAGTTTCAGACCAAAGAATAAAGGATTTTAAATGCCAGCATAAAAATCTGTACATAATCAGCAAGTATTGGGTTGTCATAAAGATGAGTAAGCAAGGTTGAACATGATTCATTTGGCACTTCAGAAATATTTACCTTGCAGAAATAGATGGAATGACTACAGTGGAGGCTTACGAGTTACTTAGTAGGTAACAACAGTGTGATAAGCATGTTGTAATTGTGAGAGTCTGGATCTCCACAGTAGCTCCTGTAAATTGGAGGGCAGGGATCTGGTGTCTGGGAAATGTCCATAATTTGACACCAGCCCAACACAATGTATGGGGTCCAAGTTATAGAAGAAAATGGCTCTCATCTAAAGGGTCAAAGATAACATTCTCTCATTTATAAAATCTTTATTTTTATTTTTTTAAAAAAGGAAGGTTGGGGGGGTGTGTGGTTTTATTTTTATTTTACAAAAAAGACACAGTATGATAATTCTGCTTAGAAATAATCTTATTTTCATTGTGAAAGTATTTAAGAAGTAGCTTTCTCACTCTTAACACATGCCTAAGGACTTATGATTCTAAAATTCCTAATTTCTCAAATCCTGAATTAACCTTCCTTAGCCAATGATAAAATCATAGATCATTAGTAACCTCAAAAGAAAAAAAAGGCACAAAACAAAAAAGTTAAAAAACTAAAGGATGTTTCCTCCTAATTTAAGCATTATTAAAACTTGGAGTTTTATAAACCACATATATTCAAATTTTCTGCATTACAGTAAGGTGTCCAGACATAATTCACCCTGCTAAATTCATTTTTACTCTCTGGAAACCAAGAGCATCCTTGTTAAAGTGTAAAATGAGATTTTCGCCGACTTGCAACTCCTTGTTCTCACAGCTGAACTGTCACAGCATGAAAACATTCCCCTACTGGTGAAGCTTTAGATACCTATTTCCCTGGTGAAAGAGTGCAAAAGGAACTGAAAGAGTTAGTGACAATTCATACAGTATCCCATACCCCATTAGAGTATGACTATAAGCAAAGAAAATATTTTAACTCTGAAGCGAGATGGGACAACAATGCTTTAAATGATTGTTGACTTCACTGAGTAGTGCTGAAAATGTCAAAAGATTGTAGTCTATCAGGTTCATAAGAGACTCAAGATTATACAAGAATCTAATTAGAAGAAGTCTATTTCTTTGTCCTGTTTGCTAAGTCAAAGGTTAATGAGAAATACACTGAAGAAAACATCTCCTGTGTGACGGCAAAGTAATTTCTCATGAATATAAAAAACATAAATGAAAAAGTTCTTTATTAACTTCTTGTTCTTTATTAACTTCTTTTTAAAAATAGCTTTACTACGGTATAATTGACATGCCATAAAATTCACTCATTTTTAAAGTGTTCAATTCAATAATTTTTAGTAAATTTACAATTGCACAACTATCACTACAACCTAATTTTAGAACATTTCTATCATTCTAAATCCATTAACTTCTTAATCTAAGATATTTCCATAAACTCATGGAAGCCACTGGTATCTAAAGCTACTATATATTCAAAGCCACACAAATCTCTGAAACCAAGCAGGAAAAGTGCAAACTAACCTTGCTTTAACGACCTTTATAACCAATACTCTACTCTGGCACTGGGAAGAAAATGTTCAGGTGCTTTCTCTGAAAGTTAAACCATTCTAAGTATTAAGTTATGGCACACTGTCTTGGAAAGAAATTAATTATATTTTTGTTGGTAACACATTTCAGGCTGTTTACACAGCTGACATTTCTCAGCTGTACCCAATTCGTGCCCTAGGCTGTGAGGACTATCTTGTTTTGTAGCAGATGCCTCCACTTGAATGATTTAAATAAGTATAAAAACACTATTTTCTGCAACAATATAGATTACAAGCACCAGCTTTATGAGTTTTTATAGTCCTAATGAAAGAACAGTTCCATGACATTTCTTTGGCTAGGGTCTCCTTAGAAGACACAGTTATAAGCCATTTTTGCCAAAACTCAAGCACTGGAGCTAGTGGATGGATCTGCTACGGCACCAGTCAAAAGCAGCCTGGCCCTAAACATCTTTGTTGTATCAAATCATGCAGCTCAAGGCAACATCCTGCCAATGTGGCAACATTTGCTCTGGGGAGATGTGGGCAGGCATCATTTCACAGGTTCTGGGACAAGGTGCAAATATGAATAATGAGGCAAAAAGAATCAAGCCTCTTAATGGAGATTGCCTCTTGTGTTTGCTGTGACTTAGATGCAACACCAGGTAGCATTATAATCTTGGATATGGTGAATTTTAGCTGTTTTCCTATTTTCCTACAGTGATGAAATTGCATTAGACCTCTTGGTAAAAATTTAAATATTTTAACAGTCATTAAAACATGGGCCTCATAAAAGACTGTGTCAACTCAATTCAATGATTAAAACCTAAAATGTATAAGGCCCTATGCTACAGAAGAATTTATCATATTTCACTAAATTTGCATATCACTCTTGGAACTTGCATCTGATAAGCCTATTTTAGTCTGGCTTCTACAAGTGTAGGATCCAAGAGTAGTTGGCTTTTCCAAATGTGAAGTGCTACATTTCTGGACTTTATTATCTGATATTCTTGTTTTAAACCAGAAAATTACTTTTTTAAACATTTTATTAAAGAAATTTTCAGACATATACAAAAGTTGAGAGAATAGTATATAAACCCAAACTACATATTCCTCAGCTTCAATAATGATCAACAGATGGCTAACTTGAATTTACATTTATATTCCCCTCGCTCCCAACCCCATAGGTTATTTTGAAGCAAATCTCAGGTACCACTTCATTTACTTAAACCAGTCAATTTTTGCCTGTGATCCTTTTCTGAGTTATGTTAATATTAATTATCATTCTGACTCTCATTTATTGTCTACTTTGTGCCGGGTACTACTTTGCATACATATTATTGCTAATCCTCATAACAATGCTGCAAATTAGTGAAGTAACTGAAGCTCAGAGAACTTAAGTGACATGCTCAGATCTTATTTTCTTCTATTAATGCTATTATTTCTTATAGGAGGTTATGAGGCAATACTAAAAACATTTCTGATTTATGTCTTCTCAGGAAACAGAGGCTATCATTTATGAAAATTACTATCTTATTTTTGTAAAATTAAATGTAGCACATTTTCTGTCAAATTTCTCACTCCAATAGGGGAAAAGAAAAACCAACTAAAACTGACCACCACGTGGCCTTCCCCTTCGCCATGGACAATCAGCCAATAATTCTAACGATATACTATAATATTAATGTTAAAACCAGTTGTTTAGAAATAAATGTAAGTGCCTATAAAAAAACAATATTTTTCTGGAGGGGTTCACTTTAAACAAAAGTTTAGCTATTTTCTGATTAAAGTTTCCTGATCCACAAAGCATTTCTCAAAGGTACAGTGTTTAGATTGTGGAATAACTGGACTCAAGTGGCATCTACATAAACAAAATGTTTAAAAATGTTTCTGTCTTCCATAAAGAATTCTTTCATATTAAAATATATGACGGCAGTGCTCAAAAAGGGGTAGTAATTATTATCCAGATAGAAATATAATATTTACTAGAAAATACAAAAGGTTATTGAATTCTTACAATCATTATTTGTGTATTTATTATTACAAGATGTTTACAAAGTCTCAATTTTTTAGCCTTCTTTAAGAATTAGACTTAACTTCAGAAATCCTTGAAATATTCTGATTTTTACTTAAAAAAAAAATGGGTATCTGGTTAGAACAATCAAGATGATGGGTGAAAGTGGCCAAAATGTAATTTCAGTTGACCTCCTTAAATGATAAAATTTACTCTCTTGGAAAACAATAATTACTTAGAAACAGGGTAGAGATAGTAAAGGTTTTAAAATTTATAATAGGAAAATCACTATAAGTCAATATAATAGGTAAAAATGACAGACTAAATCTTTTCTTCCGATTTTTTATGGTAGTAAAAATTATGGGTATATTTAAGAATAGAGTACTATTAATATTAACTGTAAAAATTAACTATTCTTTAAAGTACTAGTCTACTATGGGAAATGTAATTTTAAAATTAAATATGTAATGATTAGTTGATTTTAGCATATCTGTAATTTAGGAAAAATATTTTTGTGTTTGGGATATTTCACCTGAAATGTCTGAATATATTCTTTTCATCAAGGAAAAACTTAAGTCAAATCAAGCAGCACTAAGTTCCTCATATTGATATTGTAATATTATCAATAGAATGCTAATCTGCTTAGCTTATGACATCTGTTCAAGTGAACTCAAATTATTATAACTCCTTATTTTCAAATTATGTATTTGATTTTTTTCAATGGAGCCTTCAAAGCATTAGTTTCTGCTTATTATCACAGCCAGTTAGACTGAAAGTGGCAAAAGAGAGAGGAGGATATAAAACTGATAAGTCAAATGTCACTTACTGAGTCATCGGTGGCAGAAGTTGGCCAGCCCTCCCATAACTGATGGCGAACAGGGATGCTCGTAAGGTCATACACATTTCTTTTTACCTATAAAAAGAGACAGTGCGATTAAAACAGGTTACCATAAGACTTAGGATAGGTGCCAATTTATGTGGTATACACTGTACTTCCTCTGTTTTCTTCTAGATTCAAAACAAGAATTTGAAACTAGAAAAGCACAAGTCAGAAAAAATTTTGTAAAATAATCTAAACCAAATTTAAAAGCAGATTCTCAATGAAGGCTAGATGAAATAATAGTTCAAGAAATATCACCCCCTCTGCTGATTGTTTTTATGTATTTCTAGATGGCTTCGAGTTTCTTTTCAGTTAAGAAACTTCAGGTACATAGTAAGCCTAGGACAGACTATAATTATAAATTTTTATAATCTAATTTTTAAAATGACTCAGGATGTACAATAGTTCAAACGAAGATGTATTTCAAGTTTCTAGGTGGTAGAGAGGAGTTGTAGTTTCTGTGTGTGTGTGTGTGTGTGTGTGTGTGTGTGTGTGTGTGGAGGGGGCAGGAGTAAACATGAGGTTATTTTTATTGTTTGATGTAAGCTTCAAAGATATAAAAACTTATTAATAAAGCAACACAGATTATTTCTTTGAAATCATCCCAAATTAAAAACTATTATAACAGAATATTTAACAGAGAGCTATCCATTAATATACTATTTAGGCCCTTCTTGAAAAGAAAATACAGTAATAATACTTCTTATTTTAAATACTGAAAAACTATTGTTCTCAACATGCAATAATTATACCTTTCACTTTAAAAAAGTGGGGATAAGTAATTTACCAGAATAAAGTCTTGGAAGGTTAAACTCTATATTATCCAGTAAGTATCATATCTTTCTTCAGTTTAAAATAGGTTATAAAAATTCTATTTTGTTTTGTATTTAAAAAGAAAAAATAATTATAAAATCGTAAGAATGGAGAGATTATCTATCTTAACTCCTTAGTTATAGGATGACCCTACTGTAACAAATGAAGCTAGCATTGAATGTTGCACATAATATGTTCAATAACAAGACTTCAGTACGTAAAACAAGCAGTATTCATTCATGTTCTTAAAATGCAGAAGTCTAAAGTATCAAGTTGTCCAATTACAGCATTTTGCATCACATTACTGTTTATTATACATAAACACATCTAAGTTACCTTTCCAGTGAAACAGAGATATATATTCACTGGGGAAAGGAAAAAACCAAAACACAACACGGAATTCAATCTATTTTTATCTCTAATGTACACCTGTGAAAAAAGACTTAGTAAATGAGAACTGAGGAGCTTGGAGGCGTGGCTTGATCCCCACTCAATTCAAACAAACAGCTTTTCTTCAGAGGTTCTTAGCAATGGCCAGTCTACCATGCGGTATTTTGTTTATGGTCAGTCACACCAAGTTTGAAAATTTTCATTAGTCATTATCAACACAATTTAACCAAATGTAACTGGGCTAACCTCTGACCACTTCCACTAGCTAAGACTACTTTGCCATGCTTAAACATTAGTGCTTTTAAAGAGGAAGGTGTTCCATAAATCCAAAGCATTATATTAATAAAAGAAAGAGATAGGACAGAAGAGGGGAATATGAAAAGACTTTAGGCCTCAAGGCCAAAAACATTCCTTTCTTAAAGTTATTTTTCAATTACGTTGTCTAGATATACCAAGCTTCATCAGCTATTTTTGAAGAAAAAAAAAAGGCAGGACAAATATTTGTATTTGTTTGGAAAGGTTGCAGCAAGGCTATCCCAGCATTGGAGAGTATACACAAATACTATGAGCTGAGTATACAAACAAGTAACTTTGGATTGGGATTCTTTAAATTCCACCTTAATTCCAAAACACAACAATATGGTATTATGAAATAAACAGTATTTTTCTTCTTTCATTAACTCATCTGTAACTGCACTGAATTGAATAACATTCCTTTGCTATTCTAAGCCTGAAAAGCATGTTCTGGCTATAGTGTTATGTTGGTATAAAGCACAATGCCAGACTGATGTGCTGAACAAAAGTGATCAAAGTTAGAGTAATGTTAGCCATTGCACAAGTATTTGGCTTCATTGTTCTCCCCAGAATGACATGTGTTAAGCAACTTGTCATAGAATAAACTGGTTAATGCAGACAGAACTTGGCTGAGAGGGTACAAAGTAAAGCATATTAGGCTAATGATTGATTGTTCTAATGGAAAAGATAAATTCACAGAGATTCTGAGATTAAATCAAGAGTCTTGTGTTAAACCGCAATCACTAAACAATAACTTAGGTGAAAACAAATTAGTCTTTCAAAAATAATTCCACATTTGTCAGCATTATAACCATAGGCAGGTTTTAACATTATATGGAAGAAACATAAATGATAAGATAGCAAAAGTAGAAAATGGGTGATGGTTTTACTAATGGAGATATAAAAATTCCATTATCTTTACTGATGGTTTTCTTTCATTAAAATTTTAAGTCACAATTCTGCGGGGCAGGAAAAAATATGAAATGTGCAAAAGTAAAAATTATTCTTTTAAAATATTAAGAAAGCCTGAGTGACAAATTACAGCTGTGTATAAAATGATGCAGATGATTAAGGTCATCATGAATCAAATGAAGGACATAGTTCCCTCAGACAAGGAAGGAGAGAGAGAGAGGGAGGAAGGAGGGAGAGAGAAGGACTAAAAAGGGGGAGGAGAGAGGGAGGGGGAGGAGAAAAGAAGAGGGAAGGGGAGAGATTGAGAGATCAACTGATTGATCTGAGAGATTTGAGAGCACTTGAGAGAGGGAGAAAAGAACACACACAGCCTGGGTTGCTGTAGCTGGCATGCCCAGCTGCCATTATTGTGCTACTTCTGATGGAATTTCATCTTTAGAGATTTGTGTTAAATTCCAGTTAAAGACAAGTGGCACTTCAAGGGTAACATTTCCTGAGGGCCTTTTTGTCTTACACATTTTCTTTGATCAGCATTGGCTCAAGATCATGCTGAACCTTCATAATCTTTTCAATTCTTGTTGTGTATTAAGCTCTAAATCTGTGAGACTTCAGGCTGCTAAACTATGCAAATGTTTCACTTAGTTATGAAGAAATTTAATAAATGCTTTGATTACCAGCTGAACATCAAAAAATATGTTACAAACTATATTGTATTTGGATCAAGTGTTCTAAACTGACAACAGATTTTCCAGTTTTCTAGATTTTCTAAAAGGAGAATTTCATTTCTTCCCCACTGCTTCAGATAAGACAGTTGCTTGAGACTAAGAAAAAATGTAAATCAGATTAACTTGAAATGGTACAGAATTAATACAGCACTGATTGTTTATTATTTGCTTTTCATTGTTAATAAACATCTATATACTAAAATTAATGTAAAATACTAAGCAATGATCTCCATTTCAAACTTCATATTTCCTCATTATGGAAATCTCATTGATAAACAAAGCACTGGGAAATATGAAATCATATATTCATCTCTCACAAAATTTTCTTTTGAGTTCCGTAGATTTTCAAACAATTTTTGTTTTTAGTTAAATTTTATCAGCATTTTTAACAAAAATATTCTTAGGAAGTTACTCTGCTAAACTATATTTTGAGGCTCGGATTTAGCATAACATGAGTTGTGTAAATTGAAAAACAAAAACTTAGTAGATAACTTTGTCATCTATAATAAAATCATTTCTTGTGAGCTAAATGTTGGTCAAACTGTTGAAAAACATTTCAGGAAATTTTAAATCTCATTCAGGAATAATACCTATTTTCCAAGTGAAACAGTTAATAGAAAGAAAAGTCACAAAGTTTAAGCTGTTGTGGCATAAAGAGAGGCAGAGAACAAGATTTCTAGTCTTAAATTTTCCCCAGCTTTTACTGTGGGCCAGTTGATAGAACCTCGCTGAGACTTAGTTTACTCAGTATTAAAGAGAATAAAACAACATCACTTCCTAGTTTCAAAGCTCTAAAATTCCATGGTTTGATGAAAATATTGGAGATCTAATCCTAGGAACAGGAAGAGCAAAATATATCTAAGACAAGTAATGAAGGAATGTTTCAACCATTAAGGCTAGAAAATGGAAGAAAAATTGTAAAGAGTTAATAAATACAACACATCAAAAAAGAAAATGCGAATAATTTCAGGTAAGGAATAAACACTTAAGGTGATTTATTTTTCTTGGATGAAGAAACGTCGTTGTTTTTGCTTGTATTACACTAAAAAGTCTAGATTTTTATAAAAGACTAAATAATATTTTCCCCTTATGAGATCTCATCTGAAAATAAAGCCTGTCATAGTGGTTTCCCAAATAACTGTTCCATCAACCAAATGTTATCAGTGAGGCTATGGCTTGACAGACTACCAGCAGCTAAGTGATATAGTTATAAAGTTCTATTAATTTATTTCAACATCTTTAAAATTTTATACTCAGATCCTTGATTCTTTACATATCAAATATTTTAATACGGCAAAAATTAGAAAATATTTCATTGCCATGGGCTTGCAGCAGCTATCACCCTGGTTTCTAGCACCCTGGTTTCTAGATTTTCTGAATTAAGACTACTATGGCAAATTATAACCCTTACAAAAAGCATTCTGAACCTACAGACATCTATCTCATTCTCTCATCAACCTTAGAAGAAAAAGACTTTTGGTCATATTAGAACCTGAACTTATCCAAATTTTAAATGTATCAAACTTCAAACTCCAAGTACTTCCTACTATCAAATGATGCTCTGGTTAAAAGTTTGCTAAATAATAATTGCCCTAAACACATTAGTATTTGTGTGTGTGTGTATGTATACGTATTTAAATCAAAATAATGCACCCAGTTTCCTAGCAATCACTGGTGCTCTGAAAGGCGTATAGTTAAGAAACCAATCACTTCTGATTCAGACTAGGGTTTGAACACACACTTCATATCCAAGACTTTTCTTTTTCTTCTACTTTTTTTTTTAAACATATTATATACTCATTGCAGTTGCACATGAATTTGTTTTACTAAGATGCAAGTTAAAACCCTCCTAAAAATCCTTCCTGAACAAAAACACTTGAAACCGGATGGTGCAAAGGG